AGGAATGCCTAGGAAGACTAGTAGTGATCTGCTTGCCTTTAATCTGCAGAACGCTTAGAAGTGGAGAAGAGAAGATTTAAACAAAACCTTGAAGACATGGAATCCCTTCGATTAAAAGAGGTAAGAATGAAGTTTCTGCAGCCTCCTGAGATTAGCTTCTTTTTGGACCTGAGATATGGAAACCTCCATTCATTCGCCGGAGGCCGTTCTTTGCTGTCAGATGCTCTTAAAAAGTTAAAATGGGTGGGCTTAGACAGTGTGGGAAGAAAAGTCCATTTTTACAAGCAGAGCCTAGCTGAAAAGAACACAAGACGTTCTGCCAGCTAGCAAGACTTTGTAGCTTGCAAGAGCATGGGCCAGAGCAGTGCGTGATCCCACAAAAGAGGCTTGTCCTTGTGTCACTCTTGTTACACATAGTGGTTAACTATGAATACACAATCGTGTTGTGCTCGCTGAAATAAAAAATGCATTGCTGGAGCAAATGGAGAGATGCATGGTGTATATGCCCCCTGCAAGGGGGCTCAGCTTGCTAGTAGCTTCCCTGTGGTATATCAGGGGGGATTCTGTCCAAATGTGGATAGGGCAAGAGGTTGTGATCAACTTTGGAGTGTTTATTGGAAGTATGGAATCTCTCAAAATGTAACTCAATAGATTTCTCTGAAGGTTTGGAAATCTTGTAAGAAAAGACATTCACCGGGAAGATTTCAGCCACATTACAAATAGAAAATGAATCTCTTTCTGGTGTTTTGTGCCACTTGGAAGATAAGGGCTCAAACTCTATCTCTTTCCTCTTGGACTGGAAGGGATCTCTGTCTAAAGTTCCAGTTTCTAGAAGGCTGATTCTTCCTCTATTGCAGCTTCCTAGTGGAGCTCTGTGGAAGAGGTAAGAGGGTTTTTCTGGTGGTAGCTGGGTCAACAAGAGGATGCTCTTTCTCATGCTGAATGGCCATGTTATATTATGCCTAGAGATCCGTGGTTTTCTGGCGCTTGCAGAACATGGTTTCTGCTGTTTTGCAGGTGGATCATATGACACAGCACATTGAGGCCAGTGAACGTTCTATGCAAGAGAGGATCCAGAGGCTGGAGGCCATCAGGAGAGCTCTGGAGGAGGTGAGAGTGGATGCGCCAGGTGCCCTGGAATAGTCAGGTAGCAGTGGCAGAAGCAGGCTGTCAGTGTTTTAACAGGAGAGCTATATGGATTTTTCTAATGCCGACCTATGGAAAGACTTGTGTGTGTTGTGGAGAGGAACAGAAGACAGCAACTGGAGCATTCAGTTTCCCAGCTAAAAGTTGGACTTCTGTTTGAGCAAAAATTAAATTTCCGTTGACTGTAGTTAAACTCTTACCGTGATTTGACTCTGCAAATTTCCCATGTGGTCCATGTGGGTTGTGTAGCATGTTTCTCCTTATCTGTTCCCCCAGCTAGATCCAATGCTGCCCTTTCCCATTGTCCTGTCTTTGGAAGGCTTCACATATTACTTTTCTACCTGTAAATGAAACTTTCATTGAGTTTAGTTGGCGATTTCAAGGTGAGGAAACGATTCTTCTCATCTCACCCCTGCCCCTGAGTGAGAAACAGCTGTCACTTTGTAGCCTGCGATTGGAAACTGCTCCTGTTTTTCTGGTCGGTGTTGCAGTGATGCAGCTTCGCTATCCGGAATGATCTTTTACATATGTTTTGCAGGAGCTGAGCCAAGTCAAAGCAGCTGCACTTACTGAGCGAGGCCAGGCGGAGGAGGAGTTAATAAAAGTCCGTAATCAGGCACGGTTGGAGGAGGTAAGAAGACCCATCTGTGGGCCTTGCCTCTACAAGGAGGAGTGGATTTGGCTGTTTGGCTTACGCATTTGTCTAAGGAAACTGATGAGTAACTCCCTCCTCTGGATTTCACTGTCCTGCAAATAGCCTCATTTCTGAAGGAAGGAGCTCTGAAAAGCCTGCTCTGAATTGTCTCCAAAATCTAACCACTATCCTCACTTGCTCAGGGCTTTCCAGTAATAACAGAATTGACATGGATATTGTTGTAGCAGGTTTCATTTAAGCTGCCAACTTTTGAAGCTGGCAGTCAGGTGGATCCTTCTGTTTATCAGCAGCTTTCATGTCCTGCTTCTATTTCTCTGGACTCAGAATCTCCATTTCCCCAGATGGCTATTGCTACTGGGTAAGACGTGTCGCTGTGGAACTGAACTTCATGGGAATGGCAATAAGGTCAACACCCTGGGAAAGAGAGAAGGGGATGAGGAAAATACATCAAGCATTCTATTAGAATTTTTCCTAATACATGACATCACAAAAGAAAATGCTATACAGGGTTACAAATACATGCAAGCTGGTACATGTCTGTGGAGGGACACAGCAGCTGCTTAGCTGCATACAGCAGTGTTTCATAGCCGTTCATGACAGGGATGAAGTGAAGGTGTAGCGTTAAGTGTAAACACTACAGGTGCCATTAGTGCTTCTACCAGAGGAAGTACTTCTGTTTTTCAGTGGCTGAGCTGGGCTTTGCAGCATCTCCATCAGAATATTTTTCCTGGCAACCGAAAGCAGCTTAGATTCTCTCCTTGAACGCAAGGGAGATGTGCCGTATCTCTTATGGCTAAGCCTTTGCTTGTTCTTTGCTGCCAGTTGACTCTACCAAGGGTGCACTGTGCTGCTGGTGACAAGAAGGGGAGAATGCTTTTGCAGGAGTGAGAGGGGACCGATCTCTTTTCTTTTTCCTTTGTGTCTTACAGCAACAACGACTAGAACACCTAGAAGAAAAGCTGCGGCTGATGACCGAGTCACGGGATGAAGCTCAGAACTGTTGCCTTAAGCAAAAACAAGTGGTTGGTGAGGCCCAAGCCAAGGCCAATCAGTTGAGCCTGCATGCTGATGGACTCAGAAGGCGGATAGAGGAACTTCAGCAGGTAATTTGGATTGGAGCAGAGGTGTGCTTATCACTGGAGCAGAGCAAATTGCTGATGTTTGGTTATTCATGGATTTGTGCTTGTGTGCCAGGACCTGAGCAGTAAGGAACAGGAGAAGGTGACAGAAGTGAATAAAGTAAGAGTGGAGTTACAGGAGCAGATTGGACACCTGCAGGCTGAACGCACAGCACAAGAAGGGCTGAGAGAGAAGATTGCAGCCCTGGAGAGACAGCTGAAAGGTGATGGATGTGGCAGGGCTATACGTGGTTATCCTTTCGTGCTTATCAAATGGGCGCTCTACAGTAGGCCTGGGGCTGACTTATGCTTATAGGTAGTGACAGCAGTGCTTCCTGCGTGTGCATACACCTGTGAATTAATCCTAATATGCTTGCAGAGATTCTTATCCTCTTTTTATAGAGGAGACCAAGACTCTGAATTTAACTGCCCCAATCTGTATAGCAAGTAAAATATCTAGATTTCCTGCACAGTGAAGTGTAACATTGTGTCTGTGTAAAACCTCTTCCATTGTCTCATGCAGCTAACGGCTCCTTGCGAATCGTCTCGTGTGCCTGTCACTCATCCTGATTCCATTGCCCTTGACTGTACTACAGCATGTGTTGTTCCTGTTTGTTGCGGGAATACCCTGATTTCCTGTAGTAATGCTGTTCTTCTTTCCTAGCCCTGTCAAGTAATCACCGAGAAGCACTACTGGACAAAGAAGGTGAAATCTCCATGCTGCTGGAGAAGCTGAGAATGAAAGAGGCTGAGATCTCCAGGATAAGGGAAGAAGAAGCGCAGCGAGCAAGCTTCTTGCAGAATGCCATCATGGCATATGTGCAGGGCTCCCCCTTGGGAACCCTCAGTCCTAGGAAATGAGAGTATGGTGTAAAGAATCTACATAGGGTAAGCAATTCAGGTACAGGCTCTTCTTAAGCAGCACAGTTTTGTCTGAGTGGGGTGGCATGAAGGATTGCAAACACAGGAAAATCTCTCCTGCTCTTGAGAAATCCTGCTGCTGACAGTATAAAGGACTGATGGAAGCCACCATCCAAGGCTGGAGTAGAGACAGGTGGATCTGAGTTCATAATGTAGAGCCCTTCCCCTGCACTGCTACAGCATTTGAAGCAGTTTCAATGTCCTTTTGTACAGTGCCAGTCTGTCAGTGTATCTTGTCATTACTAGTGGTGCTGTGTGTTCCCTGGGAAGTGGTCATTCTGAAGCACTTTTTCAGATGCCAGGGCTGTTCACAATGAAATCTTGTGAACGACAAGCAGAAGTATTGTTTACAGCTCTCTGTAGATGGGAGCCATTTACTTTGCTCTAAGCCATGTACATGGGGTACGGAAGCTGCTGGAAACACTGGGTTTAGCCACCTGCACTTTGACACGCAGTGCTACAGATGCAAGCAGCTGCTGACCAGGCTCAGGCAGATTTGCCTCACCTTGGCTCTTCTTCTACCTAGCCTCTCTTTAGCTCTGGCAGTAGAGAGGGACCTGCTGAGAGGGACCATGCAGTGACTATCCATATCCTTTCGGAACAGCTGAGTTTTGGCCATGATTCAAGCCTTTACAGCATCAAGTGGCATTAAAACAGAGAGGGTCAGTTTCTGCTCTTTATCATTGTGAACTGCAGCCATTGGCTGGAATCCTTGTGGTCAAAGTACAGCAGCATTTTATTCCACTGTGACAAATGGTAAAACTGTCCTGCTGGCTTCTCAGGATCCTGGAACTGAGTGCTGTTTTCTGGGCCTTGGGCTGGAGAGGTACAGTAGTTCTGACTCACCACTGGGGGAGATGCTCCTCACAGCACAAAGGAAAAGGAAGCAACAGCCTTTCCTGGCAACCGAAGTCCATCGAGTGGCATGGAAAAGAGGGAGGGGATGTGAGGGGTCTGAACCAGAGAAAGAGGAGAACTTGAGTCCAATGTGAGAGCCTTCTCTTCCTTTCTCCACTGAGTCTGGTGGGAGGAAAAGAACTTTTAATGCATATTTCAAAAGGCAACTGAAAAATGAAGCTTTTCTTTCTGTGCGCGCTGGCTGCTTTGTGTTTGTGATCTATTTTAAATACTGAGTTTTGCACTGGTTTTTTTAATAAAGAGCTTTTGCATTTTGCCGTAACATTGGAAGCTGAGTTGTGCCTCCGTGACACTTGTCTGCAGTATCCTGCTGTCACCCAGTGCAATAGTGCCTTCTCAGTTTTTACTGATGGAGAGGAGAGAGCCTGCGCTGATAGCTAGGTAGTCTTTGGATCCTAGGCATCTCTGCAGACCAGATAAGAGAAAAGAAAAGCCTGTTATACAGAGATACTCATGTGGAGGGACTATCTCTCTTCTTTTGGCAGAGTATTTGGTAACATGGACAAATCCAAAGGTTATTTTTACGTAGGATTCGTACTGCTGCATCTTTGCAGCATGGTAGGATGAAACCTCTTTAGAGAGGTGGATGATGAAATCTGCACTGGGGCTGCATGATGCAAGTTGTAGTGCAGCTAGATTTTAAATCTTCGCCCTGGAGGGGAGTGGTCGTGTGGTATGTGGACCACCATCTTCAAGCTTCTAAGCAATCATTCTGTTTTAAAAGGCAGCATACAAGTAATTTCCCTTCACCGATGGTTTATTCCTCAGCTGCTAGGAGGAGGAAGTAATGGCTGGAGAAACGGAGAATTTGGAGGGAATGATGCACATGGGGCAGGATGCGAGCGCTCCGCGTTTCTCTTTTCACAGCCCTTTGCAAACGGGTCCGGCGTTCCCGGTCGAGCGGCTGGCGCCTGCCGCGGAGCAGAGCGGAGCGG